ATTGGCAGCTTTCATTCTCTCTTCCTCTTGCACACACATAGCCATGAGCCTCTTTAAGTCCTACTTCTCGGGCTGTATGTTGTAGTTGACAACAAAAGTGTCAAATACCTTTGGCAAGAAAGCAAAAATCGGATGGATAAGGAACTCTTCCTTGAGAGCCAGATCCATTGGTTTTAGCTTGGATGCCAAATTGCTCATCTTTAGTATGTGCTCTCTTATGCCACCATTTCTAGAGTACCTCTCTGTCACCAGCTGCTTTATCAGCTGGGTAGCATATGTCTTTGAAGAGCCAGTGAACTGACTCTTTATTATATCGAGGTACTCGGTGACAATGTCACACTCTGAGATTGAGCACACAATTGCAGGCTCAATCGTGTTCTTTATCACCGCCAAATATTTCTTGTTGGCAGTGACCCACTTCCTATGCTCAAGGTCATAGGACATCTTTTGAGATACAAAATCCCTCTCTCTAGTTGCCCAAGCGGCATCAGCCTCGTTTGTCTCTCTAACTGGTGCCACAGGCTCAGTGGGACACGGTGAGGTGACTACCCAGTCCACCTCAGCCAAGATGAAGGTCAGGTCAATCTTTTTCTTCCACTCCGTGTACTTGTCACCTTTGAGAGTGGGGATCTCTTTGATACAACCCATCAGGTTGTATTCGCCTAAAAACACAATTCATATTGAGTGAGAACATAAACATAATAATAACAATTGCATGCCTTAGTTCTAACGTTGGTCAAAATTAAAACATATAATTGTCCTATATACTAATTCTATATCACTGTTGGACAGAAATAGAATTAATGCACGACAAAACTCATAAATAACATCATAATATTGCCATTAATCAACGTTGGTCAGAATAATAACAATATTATAATAAACTAAAAATATATCTATTTTTCAAAATTAAATTCTTCCATTGGTTTGAATTTAATAATGAAAATAACAACTTTAAATACGCAGCGGAAAGCGTAAATATTCTTATTATTATTTTCTAGAAACTTTATAGTACTGTACTTTTCTCTGAACAAAATTGTCGTTGGATCAAAATTGTGCAGAGTTGGACATCAAAATTCAATTGAAATTCATCAAATATGTATCAAAAAGTTTTTGGAAAAATAAAACGAAAGAAAGTTCTGTTTCACTGTGTTTGTGGCCATTTTGGCCCAACAGAGCAGAAACACGGCCCACGGCCCAGCGCGCAGCCGCGCTCGTGGCACCTCCCCTGCACCCAGGCCGCAACCTGGGCCTGGGCCGTGAAAGTGGCCCGCCGCGCTCGCTCGCCTGGACCGAAAGTCGGTCCAATGAATCTGGACCGTCAGATCGCATCGGACGGCCGCACGCGTGGATCGGAGACATAAGAGCCGACGCCATGGCGACCCGCTGAAACCTTAGCCATTTTGAGTCTTCCTTTCTCTCTCTTCGCCGCTCTCCTTCCTCAGCGCAGGCAGCAGCCATGGCGGCCGGAGGAAGTGGTGGCGCCGCTGTGCGCCCCTTCGCCGGTGCGTGCGTCCACCCGAGGGTGAGCGCACCGCCGTCGAAGGGCTGCGCTGCGGTGCCCTTGACACCCGAGCCCGAGGCGGAGCCACGCGGTGGCGTGACCTGCCCGGTCGGCGCCTCTGGTTCTTCCCGCGCGCCGGCCATGGAGATGGTCGGCGGCGAAGACGGGACGGCCGGGCCCCAGGTAGGAAGCCCATTCTCTACCGTCCACTTTCTCTTTCTAGGGTTAGGGTTTCTTTTCCCGATTCGATTTGTTCGATTCGGTTCATCTCTTTCATTTGATTTCTTTTTTCTATTCTTCTTGGATTTCATCCGATTGGGGATTAGGGTTAGGGTTCGGTGACCCTCTTCTTTTCATTCACCCTGTTAGGGTTAGGGTTTCGTTAGGGTTAGGATTAACCCGGTTCGTTTTTCGTTCACCCGATCTAGATCTAAAAGCCCTAGAAGACCTGGCTCTGGTACCATTGTTGAGAAGAACATGACCTTAGTCGTAGATCTAGCGGGTACATCTTACCGTAAACATGATGAACACACCCTAGAACTGTGAACTACTAGATCTAGAGGGAGAGGAAAAGATGGAAAGGGCTGACCGTCTGTGCCCTTGGAGGAGGATCCGCTCGCGTCCGCCATGGAGTTGATGAAGCCGGAGGACGTCGGTGTAGTGGTCGTAGGTGACACCGTCCGGTGGCGGTAGGTCGGCGAAGGCAGTGGAGTCCGGTGACGTAGTCCGGTGGCTTCCTGTCACTGGCTGCGCACCCTCTAGATCGGATTAGGGATTTTGGTGGGGAGCTCGGCTCAGGCGAACCTCGTACTCAGAGCCGCCGGTCCCACCTCTATTTATTGCGCAGTGTGACAGAGGCCCACTAACCATATTAGGGTTGGACGCCCCTGATCAGGACGCAGATCCAATGACTCAAATGGCCTGTTGGTGCAACTAACACTCGTTAGTCCGTTTCACCTAAACGAGAATCCTAAAGCCATGACTGCATTCACGCTGGTGATATGCTGCCAGAGCATTGCTCTAGCTTCGACGTTAACTCGTCGCTTAGCAGTTAGCACTTGTTGTATCATCACCGTGCGATGCTTGCCAGGAGGATGGCGGAGGAGGAGGACATGGATGCCCGTCGTCGCTCTCCTCCGGCGACCTGCTCCTCCTCCGAGACACTGCCGGCAGTTGTCTGTCATGTCACCTGTCGCATTGCCTGTTGGGCTGCCCTGCCAGATCAGATCGATCTCACTCGCGTAGTCGCATCACAGCCAGAGCCAGGATCAGGAAGCCTGCCTGGCCATGGCCAACGCGAGGAAAGCCTTGGACTTGGACCACCCGGCCCGGTGTCCACTGGCGGGCCGCTCGATTATCATCATCAGCATTCATCACGCAGGCAGCCACAGTGTCGCCCTCAGCTCGAATCGAATTCCTCGTTCCATTTCTCCAGCCCGTCCCATTCGCTCTTCGATATTCAAGCTTGGCCTCATCACCGCCATCGTGTTCTTGAAATCCTCGCTCGTACCTCAAAGGCGGTCGCAGCTGAAGATACAAGGTTAGAAACGGGGTTTAACTGCTTTTTACAGTACATATTTTGATAAAAAAAACTGCTTTGTACATATGACGACATTCTCAAGTTTCACTGGGAATTACAGTAACTACTAAGGCTATGTTGTATGTAAAGATACTAGAGCAAATAAAAGTCTGTTTATGCTGTTATTTTAACAGCGACAAAATTCAGACCAAATGAATCTAAAGTTCAGGCTGTTTAAAAATGTACCTACCTGATTTGCTTTAATGGTAAGAATATTCTTCTATGATACATGTACAACCACCGCGATCAAGTACTATTAGTTATCAAGAGAAACCCTGGAGCAACTTACTCGACAATTTGAATGCTTGTCCTTTGAGCTGAGCCTGACTCTTCAGAAGTAGCCTCCGCACATTTGGATCTGGTAACTGGCACATTATATTCTTTTCACCTGTTTGTTTATCGGATAGCAAAAACAGTGGCATTCAAGATATAGAGAAACATAACAAGGCAGCATAGTAAGGTGTAATGACGAGAAAATAAGTGCTCAGCAGTCCACCAATGATCCCAAGGCCCATCTACCTACTCCTGACTGACTCATTAACTGACTACTAATACAGTAACAGAACAGGGTAATAATGATACTACAATGTACATGTTCAGTTTTACTTTACTTTATTCTAAGCAGCAGGTTAAAATGCAGGTTCCGTTCGCGTGACCTTAAACCTGGCTTCATCTGCTTTTTTTTTCATCCGGAGTAGTGTTTTTCTTTCACAAATTCCTCCAGCATTTCTTCAAAACCATCCAAATTCCTCGAAGCGAACATGCCCGCAATCTCTAAGATTTTTGTAGTAACGAGGATAATGACTCATTAACTGACTACTAATACAGTAACAGAACAGGGTAATAATGATACTACAATGTCTGAACAATGCAGCTTAAAGAGTAGTAGTACTCCAGTATCCTGAAGCGCAACGACAGCTACAGTGCGCTGCGAATACTCAGCCTGTTCGGTTGGCTGGTTCATATCGTTGCTGGTTCGTGAAGAAGTACTGCTGACTGGTTTGTATGAGAGAAAAATACTGTTCCGGCTATAAATTTACGATCGTTTACGATAAGCCACAGCCAAACGAACAGACTGACCGCTGTCCTGCAACTGTGATGTGCGGATGCACATAAGCCCTTATTTTGTGTAAGATAACCCTCTTCGTTTGGCTGATAAGTCATGACTGAAAGTACCGTATATTGATTTGTTGTAAGAGAAAAATATTATTCGTTCGCTGAAATAGTACGGATTATAAGCCAAGCGAATATGGCGGAATGCAGCTTTTATCTCCTTCCTGTGCATGTGCCTGGCCTGCACACAGAACCACGGCCGGGAGATCCTCAACGATGAACAGTGATGCATGCATGATGCTTGGTTTCTCATTTCATTTCAATTTCTTCTACACCTTGTTGTGTGCAACAAACTCACGGGCTGTTCGCTCGTTGGTTTCAGCCAGGACTTATCAGCCAGCCAACAGTATTTACCTGTCACAACGAACAAGCGTGAGACTGAAACTGAATTAAATGGCAGTCCAGCAGAGTACACTGTACAGTGGATAATGCAGAGGTGCAGTAGAGAGTGGTGAGCAGGTGAACAGTACCGTACAAATCCTTGCATAATGAAGCTGTGTATTCAAGATTCAAATAGTAGTGACCAAAGTGGTCGAAAGTGCAAGGCCCAAGCATCAAACTGGACAAGACAACGACAATAACGTTCAATCTGCCATGTAAACACACATAGTAACGTGTTGTGTCTCGCTCAATTACAACATTAATAACACAACGAACAAGGGATCAGGACCGTCCATTTATCAGCATGGCAGTGTTGATCTGTTACTGAGGCTACACGGAACTCCTCAATCTAAAGGCCAAATTACAGGTAATCCAAAATTGGACTATGAAACATCAAACTCTAAATACTTAACACAAGACTAGTTAGCTTGACACCATCATTTGATCGCACGCCTGCAGTGCCTGATTTGCATAGTATCTTACATCAACATCAGGGTCCTCGCTGAGCTCAACAAGGCATGGTTTCACGGTCTTCTCCACAACCTGCAGAGTAAGCATTGATGATATTCCCCAATAACACGAAATACAAATGTAGCACTTTAAAAATGGCAACATGCAAAATAACCAGAGGAACTCACAGATTGATCAAGGATCGGTATAAGTGACTGTAGTACTTTTGCAACATTGAACTTGATGTTAGGAACCCTGAAAAATTTAGACCATGTTATTGAGAACCTGACAGGATAAGATTTTTCTTAACATTCTAGTCAGTAGTCACTCACCTGTCCTTTGAAGAATTAATGACGACTGGAAGCAGCTTTTGACTAGTGATTTCTGCACCCATGACAGGAGCTAGCAAGGAGATAGCCTGCAGAATCGTCATGCGGTACAAATAGTGTGGATTGTTGATCTTCTCCAGCACCTGGGAAAACAAACGAGTTGTAAGAGCAACCGCAGTGTCTTCGATGCTGAGACGTCACCTCACTGATATGGATCCCCGATGCTTCAAATCTTTCTTTGCTCACGATGTGTATTGGATGCCTGGACATGTCTTTGAACAACATGGGACCCAGAACAATTGTTGTGCGAGTGTATCATTTTTTAATCTTCAAGCCTCGATGCTTTCTTCAAGCGTCGATGACTGAAAAATTTAACGAGGCATCGGCTTTGCAGTGTTGAAAATGATTCCTGGATGTTCTCTCCTAATTGAGCATCAGTTTTTTGCACACCGCAGGTGCTCTAAGACTAGGAGAAACTCCATGCCATCACAACGAGAACTTTTTTAGCGCATTTCCTAAATTTTAGCTACCGTCGCTGGATACCAGGATAATAATATGCAGCAGCATGTTAATTTTTGGGGTGGACAATTCTTTTGGATATAATAATCAATTTTACTCGTCTTTTGGAGATAATTAACATTTACAAAGGTTGTAGCTACTGCTGATAAATAAATTAGCATCAAGGATTATATTATGCACAGTTGTAGGAAATAGAAGATAGTAGATAAATAACCTGAGGAATTATATGCTGCATTGCCCACTCTGGACCGAACTCTTCTGCAAGGCGCTTCAAGTTGTTAGCGGCAGCATCTCTGATTGAAAAGACCTGAAATCCAAATTTTGGTTAGTCAATCTAACAATTAGTCAATACATCACAAGGTCCTATATGCACTCAAGGATATAAGATAGAGGGAAAGATGCTGGAGACAGCCATATAGAGTTACTGTTTTGACATAACCCTAATGATACAAACCTTATCTTCCAACCATTGCATGCAGAGTGCCCCCAGCTTGTCATCAAAAAACCCAACACCTAGCTGACTCGCCAACAATGGGATGTACTCAATTATTGCAAGCCGGACTCTCCAGTGCCTATCCTCTGCAAGTTCTACGATGGCTGGTAGCAGTGATTGAGATAGCAAGTCAATTCCAATGACCTGAAAGATCAAAACAAAAATCACCAATCATCAGATAATTTTGAAGAGAAAGGCAAGCCTTTCAAGGACAGCAACTTAAAAAAAACCAACATACTAATAGCTGGTAAAAGAAGACTTTAAAAATCCAAAACGGAAAAGAAAAGGCAAATAAATCCAGTAACAAAAATGTTACTGACCTGATTAACTTGATCAAGTTTGCTGATTATGTTCAATCGAACATCAGGAAATTCATCCTTCAGCAACGAGAGAAAAATTGGAAGAAGCTGTTCAATGGTAGCATCCTGCCAAAAAAACAGGTATTAAGATCAGCTTACATGGAATGCCAACAGTTGTCAACACCATATTCTGCAAACATATGTCTGCATCACTGATATCACCTTTCCCAGTACAGGAGCCATTCCCATGATGACCGAGGCTAAAGCTGAACGAACATGCTGGGATGAATCTGATGACAATTCCTGTAAATGCAATTGGCATTAGTTAATTGACTCAGAAGAAAAATAGCAACGAAATGGTGTTCAATAATTGCTTTGCCCCACCTTAACGCATGGAAGAATATGTTGGATTGAAATCTGTGGATTTAATATGCGACAGAACTTAGTTACTTTTCCAGCAGCTGCTATCCGCACTTCAGCCTCATTATCGCGAAGGAGACGAACATATGCAGGCACCAAATCAGCTCTAATCCCAAAAACAGAGAAATACAATTAATCCAGTTGAAAAGGTTATGGGTTTACATGATACTCAAGAATTCAGATACATGTTTTACAACCCTGCAATAATAGGTTGAATGAAGTTAGGACAAATAATACCTTGTAGGCTCAGGGCCAACAGCCTCACATAGCTCATATAATTGATTGGCGACCATATAACGAACACGCCATGATTTATCCTAAACAAAGCGAGTATAAGCAAGTAGCATTTATCAGTGGTGATGCACTGAACTGCAATAAGTTGAAAAACTAAGAGGTCACTCCAAGAAATTATCAAGCTACTACAAACATGTCTTCCAATAATTTATCCAGACAAAGAAAGCAAATTACTTGCTGCAAAATGTATGGGTCTAACATGGGAGCAATGTACCTGGGAGAAATTGACAATGACTGGAAGAATGTGTGCTACACAATCTTGTGGTTCCAACAATTTACCAAGAGCAGCACAACCTTCAACAGCCAACAAACGCACTGAATCTTGATCTGAAAATAAAGACCACGACGTTTTAGACATAGTCCTGATGGTGTCCCAAATGTGTATGACTATGCAAACACTAACTCAATGATTCAAGCATGAATAAATTGTTAAACACAGGTAGATTTTAGGTATGCTGTAGTGCGCCTTTCAGAGAAAATTTTGGCTTTAAGATTCAAGCATTACAAAAAGGCTTTCAAGTTCATAACTCCTTTTTTTTTTGCCACAAAAGAGAAAAATGTTTAAAAATCTCTTTCAACTTTCAGGCCCCAAGGATGATCAGAGATGCATACGGAAAACTATTTAGAGAAAAATGATACACAAACAGTTATCTCAAACAAGAAAGTCAAGAAACAGGACATAATCACTGCAAGAACCAAGAAACAGAAGTGTACCATCTTGGGTTAAGTCATCAAATATTGACATTATTTCTGTCTTCAAATGATTCTGCTCAACTGTGGCTGCAAACTTTCCAAGATTTGATGCAGCTGCTCTTCTGACCATAGGCATGTCATCCTGACATAACTGACCATAGATAGTCCTCAATTCTGTTTTCAATTGGTCCGACGCACTTGGATAGGCTATGTGGAAAAGACCACAGGACGATACACGAGCTGTAAACCACTCACCAGCAGCTAGCCTCTGAACAGAGTAAAACATGGATAATTCAAATTGATGGATGGACATATAGGTACTAATAGAACATAACATGAAATAACATGCACGAATTACTTCTAATAATAAACACTGAATGTTAAACAAAATGAATTGGTAAAACCGTATTAGTATGAAAATATGCACAAATAAGAGAACAAATAGAAAGTAGCACAATGGCATGTAGTATGGCATCGTGTGGTGCCATAGCAGGAGATGCTATACTCAGAAAATGATGCATCCTAATCAATCAATGTTAAGCATGTATAATTTGGCATTTGAAGTTCAAGCAATTGCAAAGCTACAACAGAGAAATATTAGAGTATCAGTTGATAGGGCACATAGTACAGCAAGCAAAGCACTGACTGCATGTGGAAAAATGCTGCTTGCTTGACTCAATAGTTAGTAGGTCTAATGTCACATCCTGGATTAGGGAGACGTGCAGAACATGGGGGTTTGATGGTACAAGCCAAACCAAACACTTGATATTTGGCGCGCCAAGGATGGTGCCGCCCAATCCCATGGCCCAAAGGTAGATTAGGATCTCTAATGATAATTCTTGCTTGTTTTTGATTGATACATCTCATATCCTTGTATAGAGAGGCTTACTTGATGCCTAAGCAAGGTGGCAATCTTATTTGTAATCCTAAACCCAATGGGCCTCTCATACTGCCAATCTGACCTATGTGGCCTAGCTGACTGGCTATGACATCTAACAAATTGATGAAGCCTATCAGTACAACACATTAAATTACTAAAGCATGGGAGTGGGGAAAAAAATGCCACATCTAAGCAGTGCACTAGCCATGTAAGGTAAAGGAAAATTAGATGAATAGTGCATGTGCCATGAAATATAATGCTGATTGTTTGATCCAACAAAAGCACATCCACAAATACTAAATGCAGTAACAATGGCAGCATATTTATTTACAATAGCATTACACCAAATACTTTCTATAAATGAACATCTTACCTTTACTACTGGAATGAACCAGTCGACAATGTCACTTTCCTTCATTTGTGCACCAATACGGCACAGAGATTCAACTGCCTTATCACGGACACAAGTTTCCTCCACTGTACATAATGTCTCCAAAGGTGGAAGCAAAACATGAGCATGTTCTACACCCCCAACATAAGGAATGAACACACCCAATTCCTCAGCCATTGCAAGAAGCACCTCATCTTCATCGTCATTGTTTTCACTGAGAAAGGGAATCAGTTCCTTCCTGGTTCTTTCTTCTCCAAGAGCCCGTGCAATTGTCGAAAGTCTTCTAATGGAGTTTAGACGCAACTGAATGTCCTCATTCTTAAGCTCGTCAATCAGTACAGCAATTGGATACAGAGGCTCATCAATCATAGCCATCAGGTATATCAAGGATTTCTGGATTGGTCGATTGGTAAATTTGGAAACAACATTAGGAGCTTTGTATATAATTATATAAAATTCCTAAGAAAAAAATAAAATTTAAGACAACTTTGGTTGCATAAACAAATAGAAGCAAATTAGAAAGGAACATTTGGATAAAATATACAAAAATCAGATCTCTGATGGCATAACCAAAGAAGATGAACCAAACTATTGCAAATTTACAACTAAAAGCTCCTTGGGATTGACTTGCTTGAACAACACAAGAATACTACCGTGATACATATGATCCAAATAAAACTAACCAATTCAAGATTCATGTTAACAAGTAGAACATCACAATTTCACAAATTACTTCGAAGGGTCAAACATTTCATAACATCTATAGAGGTGAGTCTCAACTACCCAATTAAAAATGGCACGGGCTTCAGTTCAAACAATAATAATTGGTTGATCCAGGGAGAAAAAAATGCCACACAAAGATGCCTATTTATATTGCCTATAAATAGGATTTCAGGAAAGAAACATCATTATGGCATCCAAGCATTCTGAGGAATCGAATCGAGTGCAGGCAAATGCTCCGAGATAGTAAAATTTGGCATGAATAGATCTGGTAATTTGGTCCCCATGAGTATTTTATTTATTTATAGCTTTCTACTTCTTTGGTTGCTTTTTCTTCTCACTCAAGAGGCATGGAGAAAATTCTGGGAACCAAAAACTTTTACATGGATGTTGTTTCTGAAATCTGATTTATGTAACGACATATTCAACTCCAAAATTAAATTGCATGTTCGCAGATCCTGAATAAATGAGCGAATTCCGATACGACGAGATGATTAGCTGATGCACACAACGTGATGGATAACATGCGCACACGCGATCTACTCATCTACAACACATCACGAGCAATGATTGATCCAATCCGCGAGAAGAGAACTCAAACTAGGGCAACCATTCCAAAACCAGCGCAATCGACCAAAAACAACCCAGATCTGGCAGGGGAACCACACGTAGACGCGCGAACGAAGGAGGCTTGAGCTCCAGAACGACGACGGCAGCGGAAGCGGTATCGAGGGCCGGGCGCGGCGATCGGAGGTGGTCGAGCGGTGTGGTGAGGTGCGCAGATCTAGCGGTGGAAGGCGGAGGGAGAAGAGAAGCGGGATCTCACCTGACCTCGCGGAGGTCCGGATCGGGCTTCTGCGGCGGCCGACTGCTTCGCCTACGGCGGGGGAGACCGGAGAGGGGGCAGGTAGGAGCGCCCCGAGGCGTCGCCGCTGAGACAAGGGAGCGAGGAGGAGCAGGTGTTGCGGACTGCGACGAGGGAATTGAGACGGACGGAAGGCAGTGGATGTTGGGAGGCCTGGCTGGGCGTGCGATGTGGGGCTAGGGGCCCTGCAAGGGGCGGGTCGACCCGTTCTCAAACACGATCCGGAGGCTTCGTTGGAACGTGATTTGCTTGTATATAAACGAGAAGTTTAGCCGCGTGTTAGCTGCGGGAATTACTAATTTAGAATGAGATTAAACTATTTATATAATTCTTATAAAGAGATTTATTATTATAAACTAATATTAGTGGATAGCGTGACGCGCTGATGTGGACAACTAAATGTATGCTAGTGGATGATGTGTCTAGGTGACGTAGATAACATAATTGCTTGTGCTAGTGAATCTTAATTGCAAATGACAGTGGACTACTGAGGTGGACACTTTGTATGTAAAGATAATATTCTTGTGAGGTGGACACTTTGTATGTAAAGATAATATTCTTGTGGGGTTTAGGATTATAAGAGATATAGATTAGTAACCAATAATATTAAAATAAAAGTTATCATTTCAAACATTTATAAATTTCCTTTAAATTTTATAACCAAATTTTAAATCCATATGACGCAATGTTTAAAAGTAGCATAATTAGTTTTATAGGACTCCATCACATTTCGTGAACCATATTCTCAATACTTGGTAAATACTAAACATCTTATTTGTAAAGAGATTCAATTACTAAGAGCATGTTTGATCCACTAATTAAACTTTAGATTGCTAAATTTAGCCGCTAAGATCTAAATGGCCCAGCTAAAAAACCAGCTAAAGTTTAGCTAAGTTTAGCTACTTTAACCCAAGTAAAGTTTAGCTGAGTCTATTAGCCGGAGTTTAGAGAATCCAAACACCCATAAATTCTAAAAGGTCGAACATCATGTTATGTATAAATAAGGTTGATATGAAAGGGGAAAGGGGGTGGAAATTTTGTCGGTGAAGACAGCCTCTTTCTTGTACTGCTTTTCTGTGTTTTGATTGTGGAGGAACTAACCGGCATACTTGCATCAACTTTAAGATATGTAGAAATCTACAATAAGGCACCCCTATTATGCGGTTGTAAGTATTCCATCGCATTTTCATGTAACACGTGAACAAGCTCGAACAAACTTGTGGTACGTAACATACACCGGCTAATGAAGAGCCTACTTGAAGATGACTGTTTCAACCTTCAACTCAGGCTCTGTTTGCCCGCCCTTAAATCCGGCTTGATCCACTTCTTTTTTTCATCTGGAACAATGTTTTTCTCTCACAAATTCCTCCAGAATTCCTCCAAACCATCCAAATTCCTCTAAAACCATACCATCCGAATGGGGCCATATTGAAGTTCGATTTTTAACCTTCAACTATAAAACTGTGTAACAGGCATCCTCCAAATGTCAAAACCAGACAAATCTAGTCCTCGTCTGGTTTCAAAAGCAATTTTATATTTTCTAATAATAATAAAAATTCAGTTTGATCTCTAGAAGTTCGTAATTAATTTATTTTAAATATAAAAATCTAAAACTAGTTCATGTTTTCTTCTAAAAATATTATATATATGTTGATGCTATATTTAAAATTGTTTTAAATATAATATTTTTTGAAGAAGACATGAACTAGTTTTATATTTTTATAATTTGAAATAAATTAATTACGAACTTTTAGGAATCAAATCGGATTTTTATTATTATTAGAAAATAGAAAACCGTTTTTGAATCTAGTCGAGGACCAAATTTGTCAGGTTTTGACAGTTGGAGGGTGTCTGTTACCCGGTTTCATAGTTGAAGGTTGAAAATCGAACTTTAATAAGAGTTAGAGGTTGAAAAATGTGTTTTACCCTTATATGAAACAGACAAAAAGAAAATAGCTTTAAGAGAGTTTACCCTAAGCACATCAGTTGTATCGTTGTCTTGTGGTGCTTCTTATGGCTGCTCCGCGGGTCTTGGTGGAGAAATGATAGGCCGTTATGACGTTAACCCTGGTGAGAGCAAAGATGGGTTGGTGCTTTTTTATGGAGTGATATGCACATCATATAAACGATGCTATAGTAAGTCTCTTATATGAAAAAATGGACGTGAATTGTTGAGGCATATATGAGAAACAATTTACATTGGCCCCGTTCGGCTTGCTGAAACTTGGCTAAATTGGCTGAAAAATACTGTTCTGGCTGAATTGTTGTGAGAAAAAAACACTGTTCCGGCTGAAAAAACAAGCTGAATAGTGCAGATTATAAAGTAAGCCGAACGGGGCCATTATCTTCTGTATCACCCTTGCCACTGTGAGTGGTGGCAGGGTAGGGCGTGACACCCCACCCCTGACCCCACACACAGCGACATAGGCACACACACACTAGCTGAGCTAAGGTGCCTAGGTGACTAGAGGAGGGCGCACACTCGGTTGCATTGCATGGCCCTGTGAGAGAGAGAGATGCCTCTATCTCTTAAGTCTCGTTTCTTTTAGTTTCACCTCTCGATGCGTGCAAGGAATTCAGGAACGAGTAGTGAGGTGAAAGGAGAAGAAGAAAAGAGGAGTGCAGGTGCAGCGGCCATGGCCGGATCGTCGTCGCCGATGGCCCTGACGGGACGCGAGCACCCATCGGTGCCTCCGAAGCCGAGGCATATGTTGTTACGTTGTAGTACGCTCGACCCATCATGGTTGGGGAGGCTGGACGTGAGTCGCATGTGTATAGCAGCAGCAACAACAGATCACATGAAGAAAAGAACATTCGGGTACCCACATGCCACACCGCGAATACCGTATCACACCGTTCACCGATACACTACGGGGTGATTGGTTGCTCCTTGGTCTGCCAGCCGGGATGGAGGGCCTGTGCAGGCTCGAACCATACCAGATGAGACCATGCACCTTGGTCTGTTTGGTTGCAAATGAGTGTAGCATACTGGATCATAGGAATCGTGTTTGGTTGCTTGTGTGGAATGTTTTGTGGTATGAATTGGTGTGCCCAGCTGTGTTTGGTTTGGCGCATGATAGAAGGTGTGAGCACCCAAGTATGGTTTTGGTGAGGTTACCACCCTACTCAATAGTACAAGGCAGACAATAGAGATGTTTTTGCGCCTTAGTTCATTGTGCGCTGCCATTGACAATGACCTTGGAGCATCTAATGACAAAATACAAGCATACAACAATTTTCACATCTAATAGTCAACAACATTAGGGTCACAGTACCTCACAAGGTCATTGTCATTACAAGTTTGCACGGCACATTTTGAGCATCACAGGCAGTTGTAGCAACAAGCAAGAACGAACCACATGAGCACCAGCAAGAAAAAAGACAGCACCATAGCCACAACAAATAACACCGGTGTGTTCCTGACCACCTTTGGTGGAGGCTTGACAAAAACTTTGTCATCTTCATAACCCATGAACTCCAAGTAGGATGCTTCTGCCTCTTCTTTGGTAGGGAAACTCTTGTAGCTGTTGTTTTTAAAACCAGTTACCTGAGCATTGCATCTAGCCCAGATTGCATAGCCCCCAGGCTGCTTGCCGCGGTACACAACATACCAAGCCATGTGTCCCTTAAAAAACACATAAAACCAAGTATAGGATGTTGATAAGATAATGACTAGTTCAATCGATTTGCCTCATATTTAATTGCCTTTCCATTTGACCTTGAACTTGGAGCTTAAGAAACATAGACAGCAACAAACTTCAAACAGATAGTAGAAAACCAAGATCATGAC